GAAAAGATAAAGGGAGCCATGATTTCTGGAGCAATTGCCTTCAAGTTATGTTTTAATTGTTTTCACACAGCTTTGCGATCATGTATAGATTTTCAACAAGAAGCTTGGGTGTTATCAGCAAGGTCACTGGGTTACTCACCTGTAATATCCCAAGGCATTGCTCTAAAATGTATTATTGAGCAGTTGAATATTCGGCAATCAAGGGAGAAAAACAGCCCTCAAATGTTTCTGATTTTACAATATTTTTCCTGAAGAATATACTGTCTCAGCAGAATAGTGTGTTTTCCTCTGTGCACAGAGGGCACAAAGTGTACTATATAAATGTTCAGCACATTTCTATATATAACTGTGATTTTTACTATTAACAGGAATCCTTGAAGAAAAAAATACGAGAGCTGCTATTGCCAGTTTTTAAAGGTGCAGGCTCCAGTCATTGCCCATCCTAGCTAGTGAATGGTGATCTAAAACAAGCATGCAGTAAGAAAATTCTAAATTTGTGTCCTTGCTTGTTCCAACAAAGTAAACTACGGTGTTGAAATCGACACTCTGTCCAAACAGCAAAAAACCAGCTGTCTTTATTATGGATTATCAGGTAACACATTTCTACTCATTTTACAATGGATAATTTGTAAGCAATGCCTTGGACATTGCTCAAAAGGCCAGAAAAGTGAGTGGTGCACTTTACTTGGTTGGTGATAAAACAAACAAGGACATTCAGAACTTCAGTGAACAAATATTTCTCAGTTTATATATCTTAACTTTGAAGTCGGAGCTCCCCTTCCTGTGTGATTCAAGTCTGTCAGTGAAGAGTTGAGCTCGGATTTCAGAAATTAAAGTCACTATTATGTCTTTGACTCTGGGTTGATTAGACAGATTAAAATGGAACTAAACCTACCAATATAAACATTTTACGGAATGATTACTGTGACAGTTACTAGTGTGTGCTCATGTTAGCTGCTGTACATGTGATCAGCTAGCCAATACAAACCATCTGAGGGCTTGGAAGTTCAGGCAAGAGCTAACAGCTGCTATTAACATAACTGTTTTGGGAAATATTAGGAACTAAAACAACCAACTTAAAGTGCAACTAAACCCATCGATTTAATGGCATGCCAGAAATGCTGTCACATTTGCTTGTGCTGTCAGCCAAACTGTCAAAATCAAATGGCTGGTGTCATAACTGATCACGCGTCATGGCAGTTGCAGATCAGATGCCAGTTTCCTTGGCTGAAAAGGATAAGAGGGTTTAGTTCTGCTTTAACTGCTTCCCAAAACAGATACATTCAAGGCATGCCGTGAATAACTGTCACATTTGCTTATGGTCTCAAGCAAACGGTTAAGCCATCAAATGGCTGGAATCATAACTGATCACATGTGCAGTGCCATGTGGATAAAACAGGAGTTAAAAAAAAAAAGCAGCTTCCGTGGCTGTGAAGAATAGAGGGGTTCAGTTCTGCTTTAAATTGATTGATATAGTTTAATATGTACCTGGATGCCTGTAGTTTTCTACAGAACACATCTTTGACTGTTCAACATTTTTTCATTTTGAATATAAATCTGATATATGTGGACATGACTGAATAAGGCCTTGTTCACACCATACGTGCAGAAAAATTGACACGCAGATTCCACTTGCAGAGATATCCATTTACATCAGTTTTCTCCCCCCCTCAATGAGTTTTATACACGTTGCAGACTCCTGCGCAGGAAAAATATGCACGTCATACTGGTGTTGTGGTGTGAACAGGTCACATAGAGAACAATTTAGTTCAGCCCTTGCACAGCAAGGGTTTATAGCAGGAAGAGTAAAGGACTGATATCCTGAGAAAATGTTGTTGCATAGCCTCCTGTCCCAGCAATTTGATGGCATCATCTGCTGGAGAATGTTGAGGATCACAGTAGAATCCATCAAAATGGACTGAGGACTAATGGAGAAACACTCAAGGTGTGTGTGAGGGGTGTTGACATGTGGTGTTTGCTTGTATATGTGTGTTATAAAAGGCCAAGCCAGGTCATTTTTTTTTTCTCTTTTATGCTTGGAGCCTGAGCATTATACAGAACTTTGGAGAAGGACATACGTAATGTATCATCTTTGTTTTTAATTTTCATTGATTCTAATATTTTTTTAGATTTCTGTATGTATTAGGCCTTTTTTACACAGTCAGACCATCTGTCTGCTTTTCATCCATCCGTTGACAGATGAAAAACAGACAGCAATGTATTTCTATGGACCAACAGATGTGAACAGATGATCATCCGTTTACACCTGTGTCCGTTCCAGCTCATTTTTTTTAAATGGACAAGGGTACGGATGCAAACTGATACCATCTGTTTAGATCCATTGTGTCCGTTTTAGGCAAGAAAAACGGAAAATTGTATACTTATCTGTCCGTAATTTTCCTTTCCTGGTCCATCTTCATGGCAGCATACAATGGGTTGTGGCTCCGCCCCTCGTTGTATGCTGCCATGATGCGCCAGGAAAAAGGAAAATTGTATACTTACCTGTTTGTAATTTTCCTTTCCTAGTGCATCTTTATGGCAGCATGCAACGGGGGCAGAGCCACAACCCATTGTATGCTGCCATGATGCGCCAGGAAACTTTTTTTGTCACCTCTGATTGGTCTCTGCAACAACTAAGACAAAACAGATACAAAAATGGATGTAGACTGGTGTAAACTGAACTGATTGATATAGGATCCATGCACACTAGCTTTGACAATGCGCCTAGCAACACCTAGAGTTTTTTCATTTTGCCTCTAGAAGCAAATATTGTTATCCTATGTGTCCATACACACTTTGTAGTGTAGAGGTGTTTTTTAAGCTCAGTGTTTAGAAGCAGAAAAAAAAACACTCTCTGGTTTGTGTTTATTCTGCAGGCTACTAACTGCTGCTAAGCAGCGGGTTGTTGGACAGCTAGCCAGCCACCATATCCTTAATTGATGATTTAATCAGCTGTCAGCGGGATTTCCCACTGACAGCTGAATGTAAAAATAAAAGAATGCTGGTACTGATTTGAAGGGGAAATCCACACCAAATATATTTAAAAAGATGGTGTGGGGGTCCCCCCTAGATGCATACCAGACCCTTAGGTCTGATATGGAGTTTGAGGGGAACCGCATGCCAGAATAGAAAAAAAAAAACGAAAACAAAAAAACCCGGCGTGGGGACCCCCAAAATCTATAACAGACCCTTATCCAGGCATTTAGGCCAGGAAAGGGGGGGGGAATGCGCGAGCCCCCCCTCCTGAACCATACCAGGTGACGTTTCCAAAATGGGGGGGGAAAAAAAAGCACCTTGTCCCCATGTTGATTGATTGGGACAAGGGCCTCTTCTCCACAGCCATGGCCGGTAATTGTGGGGGTCTGCAGGCGGAGGGCTAAACGGAATCTGGAAGAACCCTTTAACAAGGAGGCCCCCAGATCCCGCACCCCCATGTGAATGAGTATGCGGTACTACTCATTCACAAGAAAAAAAAAGTAGTATGCCCTGTCGATGATGTCACAAGTCACGGCTTCCCTGTGACCCCACCCCCTAGTTTATTTAGCAGCAGCTATAAGGCAGAGCTGTCAGCCGGGAAGGAACCAGCCTTGGGTGCAAAGCAACATTCATTGTGACTGACAATGGATCGGCACCGGGGGACATTTAAAAAAACAAATGTAAGACTTAGGAAAAAAAAAATAGTGTAAATAAAGACAGGAGACAGTTTTTGCTATGTACCCCATACTCATTCAAATGGGGGGGGGGGGGGGGATCTTGCAGGGGGCTTCCAGATTCCAATAAGCCCCCCACTCACAGAACTACTGGGGAAGAGGCCCTTGTCCCAATCAACATGGATACAAGGTGCTTTGGGGGGGTGGGGGGAGCCACCCAAAAGCACCCCCCCCCATTATCACATGGGGGACTAGGGATCTTCCAGATTCTGATAAGCCTCCCACCTGCACTGCCCAGGGTTGTGGGGAAGAGGCCCTTGTCCCCATCAACATGAAAAAATCCAGCAAATAAAAACATGAAAAATGCTGGCAAGAAACGCTAATATTGATATATTATTCATGTTGTTTTTTTCAAACTCCTAATGTGCATGGAGCCTTAAACTCAAAAAATATGTTATACTTACCTGTTCTGTGTAGTGGTTTTGCACACAGCAACCCTGATCATTCTCTTCTCGGGTTCCCCAGCGGTGCTCCTAGTTCTTCCCCCCCTTCAAGTGCCCCACGAGCAAGCTTCTTGCTGGGGGAGTACTTGTGTGGGCTCGCTCCCGAGCCCCACTGGCTGCATCCATAGACACAGACAGTGGGGCTCTGCCACGCCCTCAACATCCTCCTCACTAGCTGTGATTGACAGCAGTGGGAGCCAATGAATCCCGTTGCTTTCTCTGAGCCACGTAAGAAGTAGACAGCTGGGACAACAGCTGCTCTCGTGCATAGTGAAGGTTTTTTACCTTCATACATAGAATGCACTTTAATATGAATGTGCAAACTGAATCTTTTTCTTTGAAAAAATGTGACAGAACGGATGATGCCCATGTGAAAGGGGCCTTATGTTTTAGTTTCTGTGTAAATAAATAAGACCTTTGTTTTTTTTTTTTTTTGTGTGAAGTGTCTATTTATTGCTATTATTATTATTATGTTGTACTGATACTATATATTAGCAGAGAGGCATAATTCAGTAAAAAGACAAAATAGATCAAGTATTTCAACCATGCAAAACACATATTTCAACAGGCTGTCTTAAATTCTGTGTTTATTCTCACACCCCATTGTACGTGAATTTATATACTTCTCCAGTTAAACCACAGCAATTTACCATTTTTCTTACTGTAATTAGCAGGCCCAGCTCAGATATAAAGATTTAAAGTCACACTGACATTTCTCTTTTTATTTGATTTTTGTCCTTACATGGAAGAACATTTCACCTAATTTCCTATAAAACGGAGCAGATGATTTTAATTTTCCTTTTTTCTCATTGTGAATCAATGACAGTCTTCTTTTCTCGCAGTAGCCTCAGGCATTCAGATATTTTGCATGGTGTTTGATGTGATCATTTATAAACGTAGTAATAAAGAAGTAGCTATGATCATAGCCCTGAAAAATGACAAAGGAAAATACAATAAATGTAACAATCCAGACAGTTTAGTACATGTAGGTAACAGAGCCATATTTACAGAGTGTAAAATCCTTTCCTAGTGACAGAAAGGTCACTGGAAATGGGAACAGAACTGTGCCGATAATTTTCCCCTTGACACTACCTCTATATCCAGCACAGCTTTACCTTTCCAGCAAATGTGATATTATCTGCAGACCAACAAATAATCATCTTCTTCCATGCTCACAAAGACTTTTCAGGTATCCACTGTGCCCACAAGGAGACTGATACTGTACATAATTGTAGCTATAGCCACAATGCCTCAATGGAAAGCATAAAAATTGGAATATTTTTCAATGGACAAAATGGGTGCTTTAAAAGTCTATATAAGATATATGGTCTCAATTTAAAGTGGCTCTAAAGCTTAAGCATTAAGGTAAAAAAAAGTTTAGATATCATCATTGACCCCTCACTCTTATACTTACCCAAGCCTTCACTCAATCCAGCGCTGTGCCTGTCTGTACCAGATTTCTCTTCTAACTTCCTGGTCTCACAGGCTTTGCTAAGGCAGCAGGAACCATTGCTCCCGCTGCTGTCAGTCCAATCCTGTGACGAGAGAGTGGGGGACAGGGCCGAGCCGCGCTGTTTCTATGGATACAGACACACAGCGCATCACAGATCAGGATATGGGCTCTCTGATTGGCCCTCCCTATCATGTGATGGCTGGGTCCAACCACAGCCACTATACAATGTAAACAGTGGCAAAAATATAGACTATACAATCAAAAACCAAGCTTTCTGCTTTCATCAATGACTAACATGGGAAATTCTGCATATTATGGAAAATCAATCAAAAAGGTAAAAAATACTCAATTGTTGATACTGTCTTTTTGCTGTGCTTGAGAACCACCTGTGTTTATGTTTCTATAAAGACCATCTACAGATGTGATGAACAGATTGAGTCTACAATCATTCAAGAATGAAAAGCACAGTTAGTGAAATTCAGGACAAGATCTGGTGGGAGGTTTCTCAAACTGGGAAATGGATAATGAGACATTTCATTCGAGTGGGGGAGGGTTGACATTTGTCAATTTTATTTATTGCGGTCTCCTCCTTCCACTCACTTCTCAGAGGAGTTTCACAGGGACAGGAAGTGAGGGGAAAATCTCCACAAAGGGGTCACATTCAGAAATAAAAACCTTATAGATATTTTAAACTTTCCCTCTCTCTCTGTAGAACTAAAATAAAACAAAATGGCACAACTTAGGCTTCAACCACCTCCATACCACCACAAGGTAAAAACAATAAGGTATTATTTAAGGTAAAGAAATGAAAGGTACTGTAAATGCAAGCAAACCCAAATATTTGGTCTTTTTTTCCTTTATATAGTAGACAATAAAAACATAAAAAGAAAGTTCTGTCTCAAAAAAAAATATAAAATAATTTGGGTAGAGTGCTGCAAGACTAAGTAATTACTAAACACTCACAATACTGAAAACTGGTCTGGTAATGAAGTGGTATATACAGGTTAGTACTCAAGTGGTCACAGATTCCTAAAGACTGAAGTATGTAAATTGTGTATCAATTACACATTTGTGTTTAAAAGCAGATGCTCATAATACCAATGAATAATACTTGCCTCTTGCAGTCTAAAGACCACAGGGATTTTTCGTTCAGTACAAGCTGCAATAAAATTGTCAGGCAATAGCTGCCCTGCAGAGAGGAACTGGTCATCCTTCCCTTGGTCAATTAATATGTCTAGCTGGGATCCTGAATAAGTCTTCACCAGATGCGTTGCATCATATGCCTTGGGTAAATCAAAAAAACATCACTTAATTTTCTAAACTCCAGATTCATGAAAAAATATTGGTTACAGCCGTGGAAAAGCAGCCAGCTTATCATGGTTCTACAACAAAGGAAGAATAAATAGCGGTAGATTTTCAGAATTTCCCCATTTTTCACTTACCTCCCATTTGTTCGTGTCAGAACCCAAATATCCACTGAATGCTTTCTGACCCCATGGGCACTGTACAGGATTACAAATTGGTGCAAATGCCGAGACAGTCTAAAATAAAAAAACACGCACATGAAAAAAAAATTAGCGGGGCAACTGTCAAAAAATATTTCAATTACAACATCCTTTTTCACTGCAACAATTTCACATTTTCTTTTAGGAAACAGTAATTTTACTTGTGCAATGTTCAGTACAAATGACATATTTTTAAACAAGTACATAGAACAGAGAAATCAAATTGAACAGAAACTTGGAGATGTCATGTTATTCATAACATAACCTTGAAAACACACACACACGCAATTTTGTTTTCAGGCCCATGAAGTGTTATCAAGGGTACTTCTTCTTGTTCCGGGACAGAACGCATGTAATGGCAATTTCCACTCAGTCCTGGCAGACACCTAGGTGGTGTGTCCATGCCAGCAGTAAAATGGGTTGATTCAAACAAGGAGAGGTTCTGTGCTGGTCTAGAGAGGTAGGTGTGCAGGGAGAAGTTCCAGAGAAGTGGCCAGTAGTGCATCCAGAGCCGACTTCTGAACAATTTAACTTTATCTCTGTGATCCCGGACTTCCATCTTAAGCATCATCTTCTGCATCCAGTGCAACCTTCATACATTTCAACATGAGAAAAAGGCTCCACAGCACAGAATCATGACAGTAACATACTTCAAGGAAACTAGCATTGATGCATGGAGACTGTCATGTTTATCCATTGTGTTCCATATTTTGTAAGTCACTGACTAGTATTAAGATTAACCACTTCGGCCCCCAGAGCATTTACCCCCCTTCCTGACCAGGCCATTTTTTCCCCATACGGTGCCATGTTACTTTAAGTGACAATTGTACGGTCATGCAACACTGTACCCAAATTAAATGTATGTCCTTTTTTCCCCCACAAATAGAGCTTTCTTTTGGTGGTATTTGATCACCTCTGCGGTTTTTACTTTTTTGCATTATAAACAAAAAAAAGACCCAATACTTTTTTTTTAAACAAATTTCATAAATTTAGCCCAAAATGTATTCTGCTACATAATTTTGACAAAAAAATCCCAGTACGCATACATTGATTAGTTTGCGCAAAAGTTATAGTATCTACAAACTATGGGACATATACTGGATTCTTTTTATATATACTAGTAATGGCAGTGATAAGCGACTTATAGCAGGATTGCAATAATATGGCAGACATTTTTACACTGACACTTTTTGGGAACCAGTGACACCAATACAGTGATCAGTGCTAAAAATATACACTTATTACTAGACTAATGACACTAGTTGGGAAGGGATTAACATCTAGGATGCTCAAAGGATTAGGGGGGGGCTAGCTATGTGCTTGGTGTACACTAGGTAGTGTTGGTACAAGAGGAAATGATGGATCGTGTTCCCAGCTCTGCAGGGACACACGATCCATCACTTTCCCATCCCAACAGAGCTGTGCCTATGTAAGCATAGGCACAGCTCTGTTCTGCCTCCCTGCCCGACGATCTGCGGGTGTGGCGAAGATCCATTTGCCGACTCGCAGATTGGCTTCTGCTGTGACAGTTTACAGTAGAAGCAATCCGTCAGCAAGCACGCGTGCTCCCCCGTGAGGCGAAAGTTCAAAATCGTGCGCGCGCACGTGTGTATGTATATATATATATATATATATATATATATATATATATATATATATATATATATATATATACATATACACACACACACACACATATATACATCAGCTATATATATATATATCATCAGAAGTAATCCAAACTGGGAGCAATATACTGCAATCAGCACAATATGGAATAGCCTTAACAGCAGGTAGTCGAGACGTCTCCATACCATAGATCATGTTCGGGGAATCAAAAAAGGAAATCATGGTACAGTATGTTTAAAACCAAAATGTTTTATTAAAATGTCAGAAATGCACTCACAAACAGGGTGTCTAGCCGACACCAGCAATGACAGCCTCAAGAAAGCAGGGACGAGCCTCGCTCACCGCGATATCACAGCCGACAGTCTACGAGGAGCGTCCTGACGTCACATCCAAAAGAAGCCCCGCCCTACTAGTTTCGTCATCCGACGTCCTCACGGGATTACTTCTGCTGATCATCGCTACCAGAGTAAATGCTGTCTTTGCTGACTTATAATCTGGTCAGCATGGAGCTCTGGTGAGTGTACCCATTTCATTTGGTGGTGGATTTTTTTTGCACGGTATTTGATTTATACAAGATTTCAGAACCGTTTAATTACTTTGTGATGGTGGATATATAATATTTTTTTTATCACGGACATCATTATTTTAAACTAATAATTTTTGTATTTACTTATATTTATTATATTTATCTTGATTTATTCACATTTTTACCTTTTTTTGGATAGGAGTGCAGCTTTTGTTTTATTTAGTTTGTGGCGCTTTTTTTCTCTATCTCCTATATTATAAAATGGAACATAAGCAAGTATATGATAAAGAAGCTGCAGTCTCAGTAAGTGAATAAACCCGCTTCTGAAAGTGCTTAAACAACTGACTTTAATATCACTTTAAGAATAGGTAAGCAAAGAACCAAGATTTTTTTTACCCCCAAAAATACTAATAACTAAACCAGCTTGATTGTAATAATAAAGAAAGTTTTTGCACGACATGCACAATCAAGCTTTTACTTTAGTGCAGCACAGGATGACTCATATTTTTTATCTGCACTATTATCCATTTCTTAATTACTGAACTACAAAACACACTTCAAAAAGGATGCTACAGGATCAGCAGAACATCTCAATAAAACGCTGAATCATTCTCGGAGACATCAAGATACTCTAAATGGCTTAACTGTGGGATTAAATTTGTCACAAATACTGGTGGGCAGAGATAACCAAGATGTTCTTAAATAACGATGAACATAAGAGCTGTGACTATCACTGTTTAACCACTTCTCAGCCTCAACCAGAAGAATGTCCAATTTTTTTCCAAAGTTAAAAAAATTCACAAGCAAACAACACACCACAACCAATCACTTCAGAAAAAGAAAAAGCACAGGGCAGATCTCTGACCTCCACAATAATAGTTAAAATCTGAAATGATGGGTCTATATAATGAGGACATAAAGTTTCTGCTTCTTGCTACAAGACAGACAGTTTTTTTCACTGTCATTTCAGTCTTTTGACAATGCAGCTAGCAAGTTGACTGCTCCAGCAATTGTCCAAACACTTGCCCAAGGCCAATGTTGGCAAGAGGAATGCAGGGGACTGGAGGCAGGTCAGCCGCTCATCAAAACTTGAAGTGAGAGTTCTTCTTTAAGCTGAATCTCTGGATTCAGTACTTTATGATTCTCTGACCTGAAACAAGTATGTACAGTCAGGTCCATAAATATTGGGACATCGACACAATTCTAACATTTTTGGCTCTATACACCACCACAATGGATTTGAAATGAAACGAACAAGATGTGCTTTAACTGCAGACTGTCAGCTTTAATTTGAGGATATTTACATCCACGGATGGGCTGTATAGCACTTATGCGTATTTGTGTGTATGCGTAAAACCACATAAAAATTCTTCTAGCTTTTTTTAATCAAGGGAAAACGGCGTTTTTTGTGTATTTGTACATAAAAATACTGACCAGCAACGCATATTTTTTTTTTGGAACTTTTTTAAAATTTACTGATATATATATATGCAGTACAAGTTTACGCTGATGTAGGTAACAGCCCTTTAAAAACAATGAGCTGCACTTAGATCAGTAAGAAAAATGCCTGAATGCCAAAAAAACATGGCATTTTAGGCATCTCATGTGCAAGAGGCCATAATGTCAACCAACAGATAAATGTATCACTGTAATGTAACCAATATATCAAAAAGTTGATACATATTCATGGTCAAGAAATATAAACTGTATGATGACGTATGATACATGAAAAGCTAGAAACCATTTTTTGTGTCAAGTTCAATCCAGCTATCTTTATCTTCTAATCAAGTAGCTTATAACTGGCAATGCAGGTTTATTTATGATGTGTGAGAGCTTATCATCATTAACAGTGAAGTATTTCTGCAAATAAACTCTAGGGAACAAAGAAACCACCCTGCTCTGTTGGACCTGCCCACACATCAACGTGAAAAACATAGCAGGGCTCAGTTACAGTCAATAAAGACAAAACCCATGCTCCACAAAAGATGTAAATGTTATCTATGAAATATCAAGAAGGGAGTAGATACATATACTGGTAAAGTACAAAACCCATTTAACAAAAGTGTAACAACTTAATAATTTAAGCTACTTAAGAGAGCACTTTTTTTTTGTATTTGAAAAAGGAGACATGACACTATTGGTTGCTGCAAAACTCTCACCCATGACTTACATGAGAATAAAAACGGTCTACAAAAAACAATTACCTTATATTTCCCAGGGTTCTTCAGTGCGCAGATTAAAGCACCGTGGCCCCCCATAGAATGTCCAAAAACAGAAATCCTGTCTGGGTCTGATGGAAAATTTCCATTTATGAGCTGTGGCAGCTAAAAAAAAAAAAAAAAAAAAAAAACAATATCCCATTAATAAACCAAACTTTTAATGCATATGAACCTTTCAAGAATTTACAGCCCCCACTGGGAACCTACAATACAGTACTGTTCCCAGTGCGAGTACGATTTCCAGTGCAGGCAGCGTGCCATTAAGATTAATGGCACCCTCCCACGGGTCCTGTATTCTGTGTGCGAAAGGCTGCAGCTGCAGGACAAAGTGTAGGTCCTGCAGCAGCATCCACCTGCTCTAGTGTGAACCAAGCCTAACAGAAAAATCTGCCTTCCAAGGCTGTTTAGTTCATGAAAGATACAAAAGTGTACTATTTTCTAAAGCAGCCTTTTCAATCAGGGTGCCTTGAGGTTTCTTCAGGGGTGCCCTGGCAAAAAATTCCCCAAAATTTGTATACTGATCAGCGGGTGGAACAAGCCTGTTTTTTAGTTACACAAGGCCAGAGGTTTTCATTCTGCACTATTATGAGCTTCTAGACGCCGGCATCCAATGATATCATCAGTTGATCAGGAAGATGTTGGTTACCTGCACAGCATCCTTGTTTGACCCTCCCCTTCCCCTCTCCATCAGTGCTGGAGTCACATTAGTTCAGTGATGGAGAAAAATTGAGGGAGAAGAGAAACATTGGAATACTAGTCAGTACCAGTGTGCAAAAGTGTATTTGCTTCGGAAGAATAACTCCCCTCTACCACTGGGTGTCCTACATGTGTGGATATTGCTGTATTAAATAAAACTATTAGAATAGATTTTACATCTTAGAATGTGGTGCCTCGAGACTGTCCATAATTTAAAAGGGTGCCTTGACTGAAAAAAGGTTGAGAAACACTGCTCTAAAGTAAGAAATAAACTACATTTCTAAGATGGAAACTGGGAGATATGAAAAAGCTAGCTACCTCTTCCACTACATAAGAATACATTCTATAGTTTGTTTTCCATGGATCCTCAGTGGCATTAACATAGAAGCCAGCACCAGTACCAAAATCCCAACTTTCTTCTTCTCCATCAATATTGCAGCCACCTGAAATATAGAAAAACACATCAGTCGACTATGTAGTATCTAATACGAAAAAACGACCATGTTAGTGGTCAAGGTCTGTGGTAATAACGTTGTCCTTAAGAATCAAGTGTTGCATTTTTCTGACATCATTGTGTGTTAAAAAAAACCATCAGCTACTAAAACAGCCATCTCTTTCATCTTACTACATGGATCTAACAAAACCCTTCCTCCCAGGGCTAGGTTTATATACACATAAAAGAAGAGGGCCTACTAATATGTTTTAACCACTTGCCGCCCTGCCACTGTAGAAATATGGTGGCAGGGCGGCACGGGCAAGCAAAACCACATTTTAAAAAGGTAGGGGGGTGCACGCGAGGCACGCCACCGCCCTACCTGTCCCGCTGATTACAGCCGCGGATGTCAGTCGCCGGGTCACAGCCAGTCCTTACCGGCTATCTCCTGGTGATCAGTGGCAATCAGTGACAGAGAGCACAGCTGCAGCTGTGCTTTCTGTCACTTCCCTGACAGCTCGCTGATCGCCACCATTGTTAGTATAAAAAAAAACTAATAATCCCAGTATCTTTCCCGCCATTTGTAAACGCTATAACTTTCACGTAAACCAATTAATTTACATGTATTGGGTTTTTTTTTTTTTTAGCAAAGACTGCAGAATGCATTTTGGCAGAAATGTATGACTAAATTTGATTTTTACATTTTTTTTTTTTACTGGACATGTTTTATAGCAAAAAGTCCAAAATATTGTTTTTTTTCCTCAAAATTGTCAGCCTTTTTTTTTATAGCGCAAAAAATAAAAACCGCACAGGCAATCAAATACCACCAAAAGAAAGCTCAATTTGTGGGGAAAAAAAAGGATGTAAATTTCATTTATGTACGATATTGCATGACCGCGCAATTGTCCGTTAAACTAGTGCAGCGCTGTATAGCAAAAAAATGGCTTAAATTGCAATATCTATACCATAGTTTGTAGACGCTATAACTTTCACACAAAGCAATCAATATACACTTATTGGGATTTTTTTTTTCCAAAAACATGTAGCAGAATACATTTTGGTCTAAATTTATAACCAACTTTGAGTTTACTATATATTTTTTATAGCTGAAAGTAAAAAATATTGTTTTTCTTCAAAATTTTTGGCCTTTTTTTGTTTATAGCGTGAAAAATAAAAAGCGCACAGGTGATCAAATACCACCGAAAGAAAGCTCTATTTGTGTGAAAAAAAGGACGTAAATTCTGTTTGGGTGCAGCATTGCATGACCGCGCAATTATCAGTTGAATTAGTGCAGCGCCGAGTAGCAAAAAGAGGCCTGGTCATTAAGGGGTGTAAATCCTCTGCTGCTCAAGTGGTTAAAAGAACACTGGCTGTAAGTAAACAAACTGTTCAACACCAGTGACTATTATGGAGCAAGATCACTCCATGGATAATAACCTATAAAGTCTTGTTACTAAAGCTGCCTTATAAAGGCCAGGTCTTGGTCAAATCTCACAAGACTAAAAGAGCTTGTTGAACCATCCAGAAATGTACTGCCTACTAATATATATATATTTCTATATATATTCCTCTGTGTACAGTGAGTGCGCTTTTAGATTGGTATTAAACCCAAAACCAAAAATGTAACACGTTGCAGCTTAACAATCATTAGATGTGGTGGATGTATTAGTTTTCTCTTTTAAGGCTTTTTTCCCCTAGTGATCTAGCCAGTGACACACATCCTATCTTAGAGTGCCTCCACTCTGGATGAAGGAGCACATAAGCACATTTGGACAGCAACATTGTCAGTCTGGGAGGAGAGGGGGCGTTGGATGTACTAGATGATTTAGATATACTAACAAATTGAAGCCAAATTCGAGCTAACACTTTATAAGCAATTACAACAATTTTTTTTTATTTTTGGTATAAAGGTTTTACATAAATAAAAGCTGATCATTGTAAGTATCCCTGTCAGTGGTAAATGGTTTGTCTCATCCCTGTAAACAGATACATCTGCAAGATATTGTTCTTTTGAAAAACAACAGACTTCCTGGCCAGATTACCAGGTGAAAAAAGAGAAAGCCTAAAAAAGAAAACTAATGCAGCTACCACGGGGGTTTGGAAATTTTTTTAAAAAACTACTTGTCCAGGGACTAAATTGGTGTCGTAATCTACATGTCCTTTATGACAATCTACTTGTCATGATTAAAAAAAATAAATTTGAATCAAAACCGTTTTTAAATCTGAGGATTTATCTCTATGAAATGGTGACAAACGTCAGTACCCTGTATTTTCTATAGGCAACACTTTTAAAGCCCCTTAAAGGTTATCAGTATAGTGTACGGAGGAGGTATCATACTACAATTATTGCTCTCATTCTGGCGTGCACGGCGATATGTAACATGTGTATCGCAATCAACGTTTTCATGCATAGGCGCCCAGCGTGTGCTTTTACGTTTGTATGTGCGCATATGTGGGGATCTCAATTTTATTTTGGGGATGTTATGTGCTTGGGTGTAACTTTGATGTTTTACAATTTAAAAAAAAAAAATTTTTTTTTTTTTTACTTACATTTTTCTTCATCACATAGGGGACAAAGTCCCCTATGTGATGATTTTTGGTGACAGGTGCTCTTTATTGAGACATCCAGGGCCTAAAACACCCTGGATGCTTCCCCTGAATGTAATGCAGTGCACCTTGAATAAAAATGTGCATTTATTAAGGTGAACTTAGCCTTAAGAAAAAAAAAAAAAAAAGATGCATTGTGTATTTATGGTGCTGTTTCCTTCCAATGCTATTTTGTGTAATTATGTGGATTGATTACAACTGTTTTAGACTGAATTATGTACAAGAAATCTTTCCCATCCATTAACTCCCACTCTATGAGTGAAACACATCACTGGGTGGAGTTTCAGTTGGTCTTCTAGTATGGTTCACACCTATGCAGGTTTTACTTGGTTTTTTTGTTGCTAGGCAGATTTTAAAACGCAAAACGCATAAAAACTGCAATACATGCTTTTCTGCAGCATCCCCATTGAAGTCTACAGAACCAAAAACGCAACATTTTTATGGGAATGTGAACCTGTCCCATAGGAAATCATGTTAAATGGACAGTACTGCGTTTCTGCAAAATGCTGCAGAAAACACTTGGGTGTGAACCTAGGATAAATCATGAACAATGAGTTTTATTTTTTGGAGTGTGGCAACCTTTCTTCTTTTTGCTATTCAATTCAAGGTGGACAATTAACCGTTAGTGAGCCAGCACCCTGATCTGGATATGCACGTATATACGTAAAATGTTAAGCATACCACAGAATATTTTGATTTTTTTGACGGTTTCATAGCTAATAAACACAAGATAAGAAACCACGTGCAAGCTTAAAACTAGGAACTTTGCTAATCAGCTGTTCAACAAATGTTGCTGTCCTGAAAGACCTGGGAGGAGATACAACACTTTACATACTTCTAACCTTTCTCTGCTCTATCCAAATATAAAAAAAAAAGGTTTTGGCTGAAGTAATGATCATTTTTATAACAATACACACCAAATTCACTGAGATGGGGAATAACCACAATTTTGCACAAAAAAAATACGGTCACACCTGAGGATCATTGAGGAAAACCAAGAAAACGATGAGGCAAAATTTTTTTTAGCTATATTTTCTGGTGTAGTAATTTTTTTTAAGCACAAAATAATTATGAGCATCTCGAATCAGCACAACAGATTCTATAGGAACATTAAAAAAAAAAGGTATAAAAAAACAAAACATACGTGGGCTGGTGTCAGGTGCCACTATGATCAGTCCATGTTCAGATGCAGCTTGATGAAAGGAAGCCTTGGTGATGAAATTTTGTTCAGTACATGTTAACCCTGCAAATAAGTAAATGAAAATATCACATTTTGAAAACAAATACCTAGCATATAGCAAACCTGATTCTTTATATTTTGAATATATAAAAAGCACAGGCCTAAGCTGGTAATACATACTAGTACTGTCCATACACATAATGATACAATATTTCAAGTACCATATATTACAAAGAAAGACTGGTATCCTATAATGGTATAATATAATTTGCAATAAAAGGACAGCTTGATTAATATTTGTTTAGCTTGGCAAAGATTAAAGGCTAAGTTCACCTTCTGAAAAAGATAATCAGCAGATTGTGCATACAATGTTGGGCTCCTACAGACTCACAGGATAGCTGTATGTCTGTACAAGCAGGCAGCTACTTGAGAGCAGGAATATCAATGCACTACAAGAGCACTCACCAGCTTCCTCGTAGTTTATTGAGAACTACATGCTGTCAGCTGCAATGGCTGAATGTATTTGTAGTCTACCCATTCACAAGAAGCCATTTTCAAATTGTGGCAGTGGGTGCAGGGAGTAGATTCCCCGCCTGCTGTCACAGGGAGGGGGAATCGGGGGGAGAGGCTGCAGATGGTGGAACATGTTACATGTTCCAAAGGTGAACTTATCCTTTAATCCATCCCGACAGAAAATCCAATCACAATACCAATTTGTCCCATTAATATAAATAAAGGTAATTGGTGGTAGGATGGTACATAATAGACTGTGTTAACTTTTAAAGACATAACCAATGTTACATATACCCAAGGTTCAGTATTAAAGAGGAGCTACAGGGTTTTGTTTTTATTTTAAGTTTTTTAGATTTACAATAGGCCCTAGTATGTGTATGTATGTATGTATGCGAGTTAGGGACCTTAGATTATTATTTTATTCCTTGAGGGATAGGGACTGATGTGAATGTACAATATATGTAAAGAGCAGTGTAAATTTACACTATATAAGTACCTGTAAAAAATAAACAAATAAAATATACAGTACTGTGCAAAAGTCTTAAGCAGGTGTGAAAAATGCTGTAAATGAAGAATGCTTTCAGAATAGAAGTGTTTTTAGTTTATTTTTATTAAATAAAAAAATGGAAAGTAAATGAACAGAAGAGAAATCCACATCAAATCAATATTTAGTGTGATCACCATTCATCTTTAAAACAGCATAAATTCTTCTGGGTACACTTGCCCACAGTTTTTGAAAGAACTCATCAGGTGGGTTGTTCCAAACATCTTGGAGAACTAACCATAGATCTTCTGTGGCTGTAGGCTGCCTCAAATCCTTCTGTCTCTTCATGTAATCCCAGACAGACTGGAGCCAAACATTCACTTCCACGACCCCTTGTTCTTCTGTACACTTAAAGTGGTTCTAAAGGCTCAAGTATTTTTACCTTCATGCATTCTATGCACAAAGGTGAAATAACTTTGTGTGTGCAGCAGCTCCCCCAGCCCCCTAATACTCACCTAAGCCCCATCTCGATCCAGCGATGTTTGCTATCCCAGGACTCCCTCTTCTCATTGGCTAAGACAGAAGTGGGAGCCATTGGCTCCCACTGCTGTCAATCAAGCCAGTGAGCCAATGAGAAGAGAGAGGGAGCGGGGACGAGCTATGGCTGTGTGTGTGAATGTAAACACGGACCAGCAGTTGCCACCATTGCAAGCTGCTTGCTGTGGGGGCACCCAACAGGAGGGAGGTGCCAGGAGAGCCTGCGGGGACCCAAGAAGAAAAGGATCCAGGCTGCTGTGTGCAAAACCAATGCACACAGCAGGTAAATATAGACATGTTTGTTGTTTGTTTCTTAAAAAAAAAAAAAAAAAAAAAAAAACCTTTAGAATCACTTTAAGATTGTTCTTAATGACACTGACTGTCTACTTGGGGTTGTTGTCCTGCTGCAGAATAAATTTGGGGCCGATCACACGCCTCTTTGATGGTATGGCATGATGGATAATTACCTGCCTGCATCTCTCAGCAATAAGGACACCACTGATCCTGACCAAGTCTCCAACTCAGTTTGCAGAAATGCAACCCCAAACTTGCAGGGAACCTCCACCATGCTTCACTGTCGCCTGCAGACACACATTATTGTACCACTCACTAGCCCTTCACAAACAAACTGCCTTTTGCTACAGCCAAATATTTCAAATTTTGACTCATTAGCCCAGAGCACCTGCTGCCATTTTTCTGCACCCCAGTTCCTACAGTTTCATGCATAGGACATGGAAACAAGGGTAAGCACTCTTGATGTTATGATTGGTTTTTCATTGATGTTTCCATAGGGCATGTGGATGATACAGCAACAAAACCCCTGCATCCCACTTCTACCTTATAACCTTTCTGGGCAGCTTCAGCTGACAGTTTCATATACTTGGTCTTTTTCTCTCATAAGGTTCAACACCATCTTTCCATGGCTCTATACTTCTAGAACAGTGCTAGTTTGCTTCCTGTAGACCACTGGACCATGTCTGGCACGAGTGTTGTAGACACAATTTGTGGAGGTTGACCTGTTGGTACAAATCCAGTTATATGTATATTTTCTGACAATGTTTGTGGGAGAGCATTTATGATAGTTGGCCTCTGTTCCCAGATAGATGCCAGCTGTCTGATAACCTAGTTGTGCCACCAAGTGTAACACCCTTGGGTGAGACTCCCAGAGCACCCTGTTAAGACTGTGTCTTAGTGATCCAGGTGCTTGACAAAACAGCCAAGTAAGGTCTTCTGATCATCGTTTCATGTTCTAAAGGTTTAGGTAGGAGGTCATAAATGGCTCTGATGACAAAACTAAACCATGGTTCCGCCATCTCTTAGATACCCCTCTTTTCAATGCTCTTCCAGGCCCTGCTTGGCCATTGAGATGGTCTTGGAGAGTCTCCCTGCCTCCGTCTGTCTTTTGTGACCTCCTCCATCATGAAACATCTCTTCTGCACCGATGTTGCCATGTGTCAGTGAGAAGCTTTTGGAACAAGCCTGAAACCATTTCTTCCATGCTGAACATCACCAACCATATCCCTAAAAATAAGAGCAGACTAAACACTCTGAACAGCTTCAGATTCTGAGCATCTTCAAATTCAGTGAGGGTCATGACTAACAAAACTTGGTGACTTTGAATTCTTCCAGAACACTCACAAATGATAACTCCAATTTGCCGTCCCCATACAGTCAGACAGGGCTTAAACATTGTACAAGTCCAAGCCACTGTATCACTTGCGTGCTGATTACTTTTTCCAGCTTTTTGACTTTATTGGTGGATATTTCATATACCATTGGAGATCACACGGGTCTTGGAAACACCACACCTTTTAAGTTTCTGCAGTAGCAAGGTCTTCTTGATGCAACAGATAAACATGATGGTATTCCTTTTAAGTTTTGAACATCAGTGCCATCCAAAACACTGCCCCTAGCTACATCACCAACCTCATCCACAGATACAGCCCACTCCGCTCCTCCCATGATATCCTCCTCTCTAGCTCCCTCATCACCTCCTCCCACGCTCGTCTCCAGAGCCTCTCCCATCCTCTGGAACTCCCTAACACAGCATGTCCAGTCAGCCCCCACCCTGTCTGCCTTTAGGCGATCTTTGAAAATTCACTTCTTCAGGGAAGCCTACCCCACCTCCACCTAAGAACTGTACTTGAATCACCTCCGCCAGATCATCCCCCGCTGTTATCACCTTTTGTATCACCTCCCCCTTCCTTTAGATTGTAAGCTCCACGAACAGGGCCCTCCTATTCCTTCTGTACTGAAATGTATTGTAATTGTACTGTCTCCCTTATATTGTAAAGTGCTGCGCAAACTGTTGGCGCTATATAAATCCTGTATAATAATAATAATAATGCTTCTGTATATACTGAGTTTGACCTTCATCCTCACTCATGAAATTTTGATGAAGCTTTTCCGGGAGTCTATTGTTGCAGGGGGCAGTTGTTGTCAGTGTTGACATATCTGTCCAGTATAAAACTAGTTAATACATCTTATTAAAACATTGTAAAGCAATCAAATATTACACAACTCCAAGTGTCTAAATGCATGAAGTAAAAGCAGAAAAGGATTTAGGACAGTTATTTTTCAATACCATCTCAAAATCCTAGCAAATGTACAAACCCATTGAGGAAAGTATGAATTCTATGCTAAAATTGTCCAGATGTGTGACTATTCTACAGTGAAGTAGACAAATTCTTCACATTAGAATAAATGGCAATATACTGATGGATCTAATGGTGTTTAAACAAAGGAACCTTATGAATGCCCAGATGGTTTGTCTTCAATAACAATTCCAGTGGTATATGACATTACTGTGTGGTGGGGAACACTAACTTAAATGTATTACAACAGCTGTGGTTTGGTGAGGTTTTAAACATTTCTAGATGAACAGTGTATTGCCACTGAATCTAAAATAAAGACTTTATGGCTACTTCAGTGTAGAATAGTCATCCATCCAGTCATTTTTAGAACAGTTCACTGAATTCATACATACTGAAATGTATTTCTACTGGGAGGTTCAAAGCAGTACTGAAAGGTGAATTCTGAATATATACTGTTCTGCTTAGACGTCATCCATTTATGCACTTGGAATTCTGTAGTGTTTGATTGGTTTACAGTGTTTTAAAGAGATTTGGTTCAAAAAGTGATTTTACAGTAAACATGTATATCTATTTCAGATTTTTGATATATGAATGAAAGGTGTGACCAATATGAAACTTGGGGGTCCTCCGTTATAGGGATACAAACATAGTACAGACCAATTTAAAATATATGGGGTCTGAGAAAGCATTTTCCACAGTGATTTTAAGATTAATATAGAATATCAATATTTTAATATTATAAGATTAATAGAAGAGTACTACTTTTGGCCTCTTCCTGAAAATGCTAGTTTTCAGGCTGTTTTACTAAACCCTTAATATTTAATCCTCAACATTGATCTCTCCTCTCCCTTGTTATCTCTAGCCTGGACTGATGCAACTAACACCTTGTTGGCATACTTTTACACTGGCAATCTCCCCTTCATTCTATCATGAATGCTGTTGTCAGACACATCACCTTTACCTAATGTTCAGTTTCCAGCAGCCCTCTCTGGCAATCCACCCACTGGCGTCTGCTCACCCAACAAATAAAATTCAAATACTAACAACATCATACAAAACCATCCACAACTTTGTCTTGAGCAACATCGCCAACCTCATCTGAAAATATTATCCAAATGGTCCTCTTTGCTCCTCCCAGATCCTCCTACTCTCTAAGGGACAGTTCACACCACAAAAACGCACCACGGATACGTTTTTGCTTACAGTTCACACCACACTCCGTTCCAGTGCAGTTTTGATGCAGTTTGCTATATTCCAGTTTGGTTCTGTGCAGAAAATATGCAGCATGTTCTATTTTTTTTTTTTCTGCACCAGAAACTGACTGGAACTGACAGCACTGGTGTGAACTAGTGCTATTGGAATCATGGAAAACACTGTGCATGCATTTTTGATGCAGAAAAAAAAACGCACTGGACTGCATCTAGTGTGACCTAGATTGTAAGCTCGAAAGAGCAGGGCCCTTCACCCCCTTGTGTTTTGTTTTTCTCATGTTCTGTCCCCCACTATAATGTACAGCGCT